AAGGGGGTTGAACAGACTCCCTTGTGCTGAGGGAATCCAAACTGATTTGGACTCCCTTAGATGCAAATGTGCTCATTTGACTCCAGTGGCGAGACTGTCACGGTGGCTTCACCAATTTTGGAGGGTCAAGTGACCCCCTCTGGGCCGAAGGGGGTCAGTTGACTGCAGGCATTCAAACATACTCATATGACCTCCGTGCTTTAAGGGAATCTAAACCGCTTTGGACTCCCTTTGGCTGAAAACTGGAGTCAAGCGATGCTGCTATGAATTCAAGGGGAGTCAAAAACGTGTTTGACTCTACCTGACTCCTTTTGTTTTTAGAGCGTAGGGGGGGGGGGGGTCATCGGGGCTCGTGCCCCCCCCCCCCCCCCTCACTTACCATGCCAACGTGACGTGGTCACGTTGGCATGGTAAGTGAGGAGAGTAAGGAGGAAAATGAGAAAGAGGCGAGGCGTCCAGGGAGCATGGCTTGTGGAGGCTACGCGGCTGGCGTCAAGCCCTCTCCTACCCTTCTATCCTCCTTGGGCCCGAGGCCCGGAGGAAGCGGCCTGTCGTCTGCTCCGAAACCAAGCGACTTCGGATGAACGTCCATCGCAGGAACATATCTGTCCGATAGAATAGCGAGCACTTCGGGAACAGTTTGTGACACAACCATACGATCAATTTAACCGCATATTGTGACGGGTGCTAATACCAGGGTAGAAGAGTGCGCTGTGTTGAGCGAGCGGAAATGGCCGATTACACGGCTGCGATCGCCGGCGATCGCCAACGGACACGGCGGATACGGATGAGGCGTACTTTTTTTTTTTGTTTAAATATAATTGAAATTAATAAATATGTGATTATTTATTTTGTTTATTTTTCGTGTCTCCTCGTTATAGACGGATCGCGCGAGTTCGTGATTCGTCTTCGTGATTTATGTTTTTTGTAAACTCACAGCCTTGCCAGTGATATATTTAGATTTGACTTGTTTATAAAACTACTTTGGGCCCTGACCTGATGCGATAAGAATTAAAATGACACAGCCCCGCCAACGTGCTGGCATTTTTAATAGAATTACAACATTTTTTTTAAATAAAACAAGTAGAGCATTTTAATAGAACAAATACACTGTCGTTCCAGCTGATCAATTCACCCAGGAATTAACCAAGCTCAACATGTCGCTAAAAACAATGAGTTAATATGACACTTGTTGCTATCCTGACGATTTTTACAACGACACTCGAACACATAATTCTGTGTTAATGGTAATATATTTTTCAAGGCGAGATTCCCGAGCTCGTAGCTTTACAGCCCGAGATACATTCTTCAACGAATATCTTGCGCTTGCAACCTAGTAGCGGAATCGTCGTACATTACAAAAAGGCTGGGAAGCAAAATTTTAATCAAAAGGCAAATGAAAACAGATAAGTATAAACTATGTGCATATATTAAAAGAGCAGAGTTACTCTTGGAACGAAAAGTAAGCGACGCGATGAGATCACTATGACTCATGCAATTTCTAGCGCTCGAGACACGGGAGCCGGGACTCGTAGCCGCTTGGCCTGTGGGCCACCTCCCAGCGAGTCGCGGGCCGCATACGGCCCGCGGGCTGCGTGTTTGAGACCCCTGGTTGCGGGGCCGCAGCCTCCACAGTTCGCCAAGTTATCATGACCCCACTATCCTTTCAATCAAACCCAATCAGAGCTCGGCGCAGGGTGTAAGATAGACAGGTGGGGAAACGAGAGCCAAATGAGCGACCGGATTGTGTCCCCCTCGGGTTTCTCTTTTTCTGTGGCGCCATCTATGTGGAGCACCGCGAACTCTCACTCCGGGTGGGCGACCGGTGGCGACCGGCTAAACTGACGGAGATGATTTCTCGTGGATTTTCAATGAAGGAATGTTGTGCTCTCGGTTTATTTTGCGCACGCTCCCACAAAGTTCCATGCAAATTCGATTCCGACTTTTTTTTCCTCTCGCCGCAGCGCCATCTGTCGCAAATCGGGTGTACCCGCAAGCAGACGAGTACACAATCCGGTCACGGCGCTGCGGTAGGCTTCTATGGGCCGTTTCCCCACCTGTCTATCTTACACCCTGGCTCGGCGTCGTTTTGATGTCACCGCGACTCCTGCGCACGAAGCAGACTTGCTCTCTCCATTGAAGAGTTGACCCTCGCTCGGGTGAAACACCTCCTGGCCGTGTTACATCACGCAATGGCGACCAGAATTGATCACCGAGGTGCTATATGACTTGACACTGTGCGACTACTTTATTTGGGGGTTAGTGAAATCCCATGGCGAAATTCAGCTACAGTATAATCCGGAAATGTTATCGAGAATTTCGTCAGAAGGGGAAGAGCACAGCAGTAATCTTAGGGGTACGTTTGTCAGAGATTGTGTTTCACAATTAATTGCCGGCAGGTCTGTAGAGATATCTGACATCACAGGCAAAGCATTGCCCAGCTCTACAGGGTGAAACAAGGAGACGCCAGGCTCTTTAAATCGACCGGAAAATTCGGTTTCTTAACCTATCGCGCTACGACTTTGTGCAGCGTTGCCCACAGATGGTGCATTTTTTTTTTGTAAAATTTGCGAAGAGCGAATATACCCGAGGAAAAAGTAAAGAAAGAAAAAGGCTTAGCTCCTAAGAAAACGCAGCGACGCCACCGGTCTGCAAACAACACGGCGCCGTTTCGCACGGGAGACAAGAGATGGCGCAAGCGGTCGCGACGCCAGCTGTCGCTAACGAACGAGCAGACGACGCCGAGAGCCGGCCCTTTTGCAGACAAGGAACTGCAGTTCCTTGCTGTTATCGCGCCTGTCTTTTTTGTTTCTGCGACTGTCGCCGCCTGCGGAACGCGCGCCGCTTTTGAGTCGAAAAGATCGTCTGCTAAAAAGGCCTGCTCTCGGCGCCGTATGCTCGTTCGTTGGCGGCGTTTGTTGCGCCATCTCTTGTCTCCCGTGCGAAACGGCGCCGTGTTGTTTGCAGACCGGTGGCGTCGCTGCGTTTCCATAGGAGCTAAGCCTTTTTCTTTTTTTTTACTTTTTCCTCACGTAAGTTCGCTCTCTGCAAAATTAAAAAAAAAAAAAAAATGCACCATCTGTGGGCAACGCTGCACAAAGTCGTAGCGCGATAGGTTAAGAAACCGAATTTTCCGGTCGATTTAAAGAGCCTGGCGTCTCCTTGTTTCACCCTGTATTTCGTTCACCTAGCTAGTAACCTAATGGCCATTTCACCAAAAACTAAACATCTACATTTTTTGCGGTTTCCACGCCTCTTGGGGTTCGGGCAAGCCAGCGGGCATAGAGAAAGTAATTAAATATCAGTGCGTCATAATTTAACCGGACGACGCGGAAACCCTCCTCCACCTACGGGGGCGATCCGCGGTGCCGAAAGCGCGCGATATGCGACGTCTTTGGTCCTGGGCGTACTACTGGTCAGAGCCGCTAAAAGCTTCTTTTTAGTCTAAATCAGGGTGTAAGATAGACAGGTGGGGAAACGGCCCATAGAAGCCTACCGCAGCGCCGTGACCGGATTGTGTACTCGTCTGCTTGCGGGTACCCCCGATTGGCGATAGATGGCGCCGCGGCAAGAGGAAAAAAAGTCGGAATCGGATAGGCGTGGAACTCTATGGGAGAGTGCGCAAAATAAACTGAGAGCACGACAGTTCTCCATTAAAAATCCACAAGAAACCATCTCCGTCAGTTTAGCTGGTCGCTACCGGTCGCCCACCCGGAGTGAGAGTTCGCGGTGATCCACATAGATGGCGCCACAGAAAAAGAGAAAACCAAGGGGGACACAATCCGGTCGCTCATTTGGCTCTCGTTTCCCCACCTGTCTATCTTACACCCTGGTCTAAATACAAAAATTAAGTGGCGCGAGCCGTTTCAATTATTTATAAAAGTAGTTTTTCTTCAGTATTTTAGATCAGAAAAGAAACAAATGCAGTTTATAAAGTACGGAAACAAGAAATGACCCGTCGACATACCCGCCACCAAGCGGTGGAAAAGGCAGCGCATACTAAAAAGGTGCAGTGGGATCAGGCACCGACGAGCGGCGAGTGTAGAACCCGGATGTACGCGGCGGCGCTGCAGTCGAGGATCCGACCGGTTCCAAGCGTTCCGAAGGCCTTCGGCGAGCAGCTCTGGCTTGCGGTTTGGCCCTTTGGCGGCATGGCAGCGCGAAGTGGCTCCCGTTTGAACTGATCTTTACCCAGTGTTTGTGGCCAATGAAGTGTCATGCCGAATTAGTGTGTAATTACGCAGTAAATGCAATGCGAGCCGCCCTGGCTGCCCGCTTCATACAGCCTATCCAGAACATGCGTTAGTGGCACCCTCTCAAGCCGTCGACACGGAGTGCGGCAGCCGTGAGGGCCTCGCTGAGCTCACTACCCCTCCTCTAGTTCATGGCCACTCAAGCGACCAAAGACGTCATGAAGGAAATTTTTTTGCTTGTCTTTGTAATATTAATTTGCCCATAACTTTTAAAATAAAGCACAATTCGAGAAAAGTTTCATCAAGTTACTACGTTCAGTGCGCTCAGGTTCGGTGCAAATTAAAAACCAGTAAAAAAGTCCTTGCAGGGCCCCCTTAAGGTAATCAGTTGGGTGATTTGATACATTAGACATGATTAAAGTTGTCTGTCCTTGTTTTTTTGTGCACAACTTTAATCATATTTAAGCTGATGTATGTAGGTAGGTATCTTTAGAGAAAAGTAGTCCTTAAACCCCCCCAACCATCTGCACATTACTTGTACAAAAAGCCATACAGTGGAGAATGGTTTTTCGAAACCCAAGAATGTGAGCGATGCTGTTCAAAGTTGGCTTCACCATAATTATAGTTTATAAAGTACTATTTTCTGTGGTCTGCAGTGTTTCCCATATGCAAGATTAACAAAACATAAGAAATATTTTGAGTAAAGGATGCCCTTGCAGTTCTTAGTACTGTATTTCAACAGGCTAGATCTGCAAATAAAATTGTGTTTTTAGAGGTATTTGCAATGAAAGCGCACACACAACAAACTTTTTAAAAATTACAAGGTAATTTTTATTAAAATAAGGTCATCTTGAGAAAAAGAAACATTAGACACAGTGCAGTAACATGTCCCGAAATGTTTGAGGAAAGCTTCAAGAGACACTGCAGCTTTGTTCGTGCCACACGTGAATTAGAAACAAGTGTGAGCAATAACACTTTTTAGAATATCTGGTCATTTTATACACTCTGTTATGTACAGTGCCAAAATAAATTTACAACAGTGCTTGTCAGAACAAAGCATCACAAGAAGCACAGTTCACTCATCGCAAGGCTGACGTCCAAAAAAAATTAATGTCCATACACAGCACAATGTATCGAGTGGTGAAGGCATATGTGAAGAAAAGAAGCAATTTTGTCCACGTGAAGCATTTATAAAAATAAATTATCGAACGATGAGAAACAGTTCATGCTGCTTTTAAGCACTTCCCTCAAATCAACAAAAAACACATGTATATGTATTAGAAAGGTAATTTGCCTTAGCAGCATGCGTTACCCACACAAGCACAGTGTGCCGGTACAACAACATATCGGCGTCTTAAGCGGTGACGTGATAAGCAACTCGATTGCAATGGAATGAACAGCCAACAACAACCGTAGTGCAACAGAGTGCAACAGGCTGGAAAGAGTATGTACAGATTTAACAGCGAGGAAACCATGATTTCTTCAAGCGGTTAGAAAACACTCCTTGACGCCAACTTAAATGCAGTCCATTTTTGATATGCCTTAGAGGGTTGATGTAGCACTTGCTTAGATGTACACCTTGCATCCTTGAGCACAGTTTCATTCACTATGTACACATGTGGCTTTGGCTTCGACGTATCAGGCACCAGACGACCACCCTGCCTCCCTGGTACTAAAACGTTTGGTGGCGCCACTGGAAGCTTGGTACCTCAACCCTTCGTCTAGACCACTCCCAGCGCCGAGGACCCAGTGATTGCTGGCAGTCTTTTCCTTCTGGCAGTAGTAGCTCCCCTCTAGGGATCAGTGGGGACTTCTGTAGACGAGATTGCACCCCTCTCAGCGCTTGGACTGCAGGGTGGGTCGGAGGAGCAAGGATCCGTCGATCCAAAGGTTAGGCCTCTCCAACATGGAGCGCCACAAAGTCAGCTCTTCTCCTTGCGAGTCCATCCAGTCCACGTCACGTCCATAGAGTTTTCCTGGAAAAGTGTTTTTGCGCAGTTGTTGACTCTGTTTTAAATACACAAAACTAGGCTCAGTGGCCGATCAAAAGCTCGATTACACAATTGCACCTGTTTGTATAATACTACTGAAGATATGACAAAAACAGCTTGCTGGTAACCTATGCCCACACTGCTAGCCAGAAAGAAAAGGAATGAGAGGAACCACAGAGCACTGATTGAGTCAGCTGGCTTAACATTACATGTCGTTATTCTGCCATTTCTTGTTTCTACTGGAAGTTGGGACTTAAAGGGGCACTCTGGCAATTTCTTCATGATCCCCGATTCGCTTGAAATTTTGCTAAACTCGCCAACCAACATTGCTAAAATACCGTATTTGCACGAATATAACGCGAGTTTTTTTTCGAAATTACGTGCTCCAAAACGCACCTCGCGTTATATTCGGAATCGAGTTCAGCCACGAGGCGCGCGAGTCTGGAGAAAGCCATCCCTCCGGCTCAATGCAAAATATCCGGTGTGAAAAGAAGTGGGGGTATGGAAGGGAATTTATTCGCTATTGGGCCATGTGAAGGGGCGAATAGAAAACATAAGAAAGCATTTTTATCGCTTTTACAACGCACGGACGCCGCAGAAACTAAGCACGCGCGCGCGCCATGCGGGCACTGGCTAATTCGAGCCAAGCCAAGCCGGGCCAAGTTAAGCCAACACAAGCCAAGCCAAGACCACCAACCGCGTTTACGCAATCGTGCAACACGAGGTATTTGTTTATGCAGAGGGACCAGAACAACAAGTGTGATCAATACGGTGTATCGGATTCAGCAGTCTTTTTTCTGCCTGTGCATTGTTTAGTTTCTGCTCCAGAGTGACCTGGTGTTTAGTGTTGGTGCTTCTAATTCGTGCCTTGTTTCGATTGTGGGCTGCCGAGGAGCTCGCACGGAAGAAAAGGGAGCTACCAGACAAGCAGGTGCCGTGCTGCTGCTTATCTGCGTAGCTGCCAAGTGGATTGTAAACGGAAGGACCTGAGCTAGCTGAGCAGTGAGGATGAGTGCAGTCAAAACAGGAACTGATATTTCTTCTATTTCCATTGACTTTTTACATCTGCTATGCCCCCGAGTGCGAGAAATTGACGCGGCCTCGGTTCGCGTTATAATAGTAATAACATAATTTTTTTCTTCTTGAGGGCATCAAAACCTGCCCTCACGTTATATTCGTGCAAATACGGTAGTATCCCGAATATTAGGTCAAAATAATTTTTTTTCACGAGGTTATTGAATTTACAGTTTTGGTCTTCACCGTATTTTCAAACTGAAAGTCTCTACTGGCAGCAACGAAAAAGTGACGTCAGTGGAAGGCAGGGGTTCACTTTTTGGACTGTAGAATTTGTTTTCAACTGATTCGAAGCAGTTTCATGATGTCAAATGAATGCTTTGGAAGCTCGCTCCAGTCCCCGCACTAAAGCACGGAACTAATGATTAGCATATTATATTTTTTAGACTGCTTGCTTGACTGGCAAGCCTGCCCGCCACTGACGTCACCGCACTGAAAAATGCGGGTATATTTGAATGTTGGTTTTTGCATCATTTTCATTTGCCAATTTCACAATAACTATAAGGAATTTCGCGATACTAAATAGCATACCGGAAAGGGTAAAAGCCGGGAATTCAGAAAATATAGTTAGTTGAAGTAGCTCAGAAAATCGCCGGAGTACCCCTTTAAAGGAGTCATGAAACGCTTTTATAACTTTTCCCTGTTTAGCTTTCCTCTTCAACTCATAAATCACGCATTCCACCAAACAGTTCAAGAAGACGGAAAGGGGGACTCCCCCCTTTCTTGGACTTTCGTTTGTGCACCTGGATACTGCCATTCTCCCCCTAGAAGATTAGCCCGTCGCTCAGAATTCAGACAAAAGTTGCTTTCCCCACCCCGTTCACCCCAGAGCTGACGGTGCTGTGGACGGTACGAAATAGTCCGCTGTTTTTTAAAATTTTCGTACCGAAAGTCAGGCTTTCGACTTTCTACCTTTTTTTTCTTTTGGCCCACTGAACGATGTGCTATTAGTAAATTCCTAATATAAATTGATTTATTCGAGCCCAAAATTCATTCCATGGGCCCTGTAAAGGGTTTGATTTGTCTGGAACTAGTGGTGTGCTTGCCACAAATACACAGACTGTGTTTTCAAATTCTTTTTCCCTTAACTTCACAACTCTGGTCAAATTCTGTGCAACTAGAGGGTGCCCAGAACCCTTGACATCAACAGGATGCAAGACTTCTCAGTTAACCTTTCTGTGAATTAAAATAAAACTGCAAGAAACAAAGGCCACCATTTGAGTCTCTCTTGTGGATTAGTTTTCTGGGCTCAAGACACACCAAATTTGTTTGAGGATTCTAAAAATTGTTCAAAATATCAAAAATTAAGGGAACTTCTTCAATTACTCTTACAACAGTCGGAGAATTTAAAACATTTGGAAGCTAATAAATTGTAGTGCACTTACAAATAAACAGAATTCCACAGTTTTAGTCTCAACGATGAATGCTATGTCTTTATGCAGTGTGTCGAACCAAAACAGGAGTAAACTGATACAGTAAACGAGTTAATTTTTGCGAGAACCTAATTTTTGTGAATTTCGCGAATCGCGTACAATTCACGAAAAATAGGTCCCGCAAACATTTTCGGTAAAAGGTAAACACGTTGGAATCTTTATTGAGATTGCCTCCGTGTCACGAAAATTAGAATCCGAGAATTATTCCAAAACTTCAGCCTTGACCTAAATCGCGAAATATTGAGCCCGCGAAAGAAAGTCGTTTACAGTATATCTTTTCTGCCATCGGAAACAATACACGGGCTGAGCAGTCGGAGCTTGGACATCACAATCCAAGGTAACTTATAGTTACGCTTTGTGGTTTACTGTAACTGTAACTAGATGTGTTTTAAAGACATAACTTTGTATTTTATGGATGTGAGTTCGAGTATACGTGTGACTAAAGATTGGCCTTGAGTAAGTTTGACTCCAAACGAGATCGAACGAGTTTAAATTTGGCTACCTGTACGAGCAAGTTTTATTTGGGTCTATGTGTGAATTTCGATTCGAGGTTCAGCAGCTTCCAGTAAAGCTTGATCATGAGGTTGGCTGTGAATTCAAGTACAGTTTGGCTACAAGTGTGGGACTGAGTAAGTTTGAGTCTGAACATGTTTGCCTGAGTTCTATGGGCATGGACATAAATTTCGGTTACAGCTTCAGTTTACAGCAAACCTTGTTTATGAGGCTGGTTGTGAATTCAAGTACAAGTTCAGCTACAAGTTTGATATTGAAAAAAATTAAACCTGAGCGACTTTGACCGAGTTATATTCAAGTTTAGACATAAATTTCGGCTACAGCTTTCAGTAAAGGCCGATTATAAGTAGGGTTCCATGTTTCTGGATAATGTGAGAAACCCAGAGAAACTCCCGCCGGTAATATTTTTGGCAATTCAGATTTATCCAATAAACTCCAAATTCTAATGTACAAAAAAAAAAACACGATAAAAAAACTATAACAACAACAAAAACAACAACAACAACAACAGTATTTTAAGTTTCGCAAGTGCACAGGGTCAATGTTCCCGAGGAAATTCCACCCCAGTTTTCATTCAAATCTGGGACCATTGACAAAAGGGATCTTGGCGCTTATCTCGTCAAGGTTAATTCAGAACAACAGGTCATTGTACTTTTGGGTCACGACAAAGACCACTGTTCCAGTTTCCAGTTTTGGCCACGCTATTTGCGCCGCTTAGAGGAAGGAGGGGTTGTTTCTGTAACATTGAAAGCAATGATCTATTGAGATTTCATAGAAGGGGGAAGAGGGGGTGGGTAGTTGAAGCTTCTATATTACACCTTCCGCTCCACTCCACAAAGCCGCGGGATAGGTTGATGGATAGGATGGGATAAATACGAGCTTCCCAGCGACTACCTCCAGGATTTTAATAATTTTAAGATGTCGACATGTATTGAAGCAACACTTGTTTGCAACCTTTGTAGTGGGACAAATTAGTACCGCAAATAAAAATGGCGCCCCCGCAAAATCCAGCTGAAGAAATAATGATTCATACAAGAGTGTTCTCTTCAATCGAGCATACATTTACAACCGGATATTATTTATTTTTATTTTTAAAAAGATGAGAAACACAGCAAAATTAAACTCAAAATTTTTGAGAATTGGAAATCAAACAAAAATAAACTCTGATAAACTCCACTTTTAAAATAAAACACCCTCAGAATTTGACAAAAGATAAACTCTGAAAACACGGAATTAGTAAGGTTCCGCGCTTTCCGAATTTAAAAATTTTTTTTTTTCATTTGGAGTTTATTTGAGTTTATTTGTGATAGATTCCCGATTCTCAGAAATTCTGAGTTCACAATTTTGCTGTGCGCACAATTTTCTCAAACTCAATATTGCGGCGCTCAGGGCCCAGCAAACAACGCTGGTCATGGAATTCTAAAAGATTCCTTTTCGTTCTTACTGGGGCACGTCACTTTTATAATTTTGCCTTTGTTTCTTGTTCTAGAAAGCGCCTGTTCATTCTTGCCCGCTCATCCTGAGCCTGCGATGATGATCATCAGGCCTCCTTGCCGAACATTCCAGACGCCCACACACTCCAGATAAGGAGCGGCGGGCGACCTTGTCGAGTCACTCTCGCTCTTTGTTACGCTGCCTGCCGAATCCCCACCTTTCTGCTGCTGCCTCCACGCTCTTTCTTATTTTATTTGGCACAGATTCGCCGATTAAACCTTCATGTTCAGCTCACTGTTCGTCTTCTTGTCAGCTTCATTCCTGGCAATATAAAAATAAATATTATCCAGACACAAATGTGCCCTAAATTCGTAAGAACTCCCGTGTCAAATGATATTTCTTCCGTTGAATTGGGCATGCGCACCCCTGTCAGCGGTAATACAGTGATGTCTCGCTCATATGGACACCTCCGTTCCCACCAAAAATCGTCCATAATGCGAGTTGCCCATAATAATGAGACAAAAATGCACATATTTTCCCAGTTTGTCCCCGAAAGTGGTGTCCATATAGCGGGGCATCCATATTAACGGAGTCCATATTAACGAGACTGACTGTACCAACTCACTGTCCCAGAACAAAACTTGCAAACAAATATTGCTTTATAAATGTCCACACTTTGAAATAATAATTGGGGTTCTGGGGATATTTATACAGCGTGTAGTTGGTCTGCCATTAAAGTTGCGACGAGTCACACGCTGTAGATGAGCAATTTAGCCAGTGCAGTACAACCGCTAGCCTGGGGTCTTTAACGTGCACCACGCAGTAGTGATACACGACCGCACGCCGGTACGATGCTCATCCAGATCGAAACGGGCAGGGGTGGGGCTCGAATCCAGGATCCCTGGGTTCTGCAGCGCGAGCTTTCGCTCCACGCGCGTCGAGCTGGGCGTGCGCTTCAGCCCACTCGGCCACCGATCCCCCCCACACTTTGAAATCATTGAAGTCCTCGACATAGTCTCTGGAAAGCTCGTTTTCTTCCCATCTCATTCCACCACTCCACCCTGCGACTGCTTGGGGTAGGGCGGTGAGATCGAACTAGAGCTGCCCCTCCCTCCTGTGATCATAGCCTTCCCTGTTGGAAAAACACAACCCCACCTTCCTCCAAGAACTGCAAACTGAAGAAAACAGCAGTGACTTTTGTCGTGATCCAAAGTTACAATGACCCATTGCCCTGCACAAAACTTCACAAGATAAACAGTAAAACTCCCTTTCGTCAATAGTCCGAGATCTGAGAGGAAGCTGAAGAGGCCCCTCATCAGGACCACTGGCTTTCTGCTCTGACCAAGCTTATTAATAGAGTAGCATGTTTTTTTATATATATTTTTCTTTTTGCCATTGTGACATTCAAATTTGGAGTTTCACAGACACATTTGGATTGCCAAAATTTTTTTGCTGGCAGTGTTTTTTTTTTGTTTTTTTTTTTATCGGATTGATCAGAAAACACGCAATCCTAAATATACGCTGGCTGTGAAATAAAGTATCTGGATACAAGTTTAGGATTGAGTATGTTTGAGTTGAATGAGTCTGACCGAGTTCTATTTGGGTTTGAACATGAATTTTGGTTAGAGCTTCAGCTTCCAGTAAAACTTCATTATTAGACTGGATATGAATTCAAATATATGAGCTTGGCTACAATTCTGGGATGGAGTAAGTTGAGTATGAATGAGTTCTATTCGGGTTTGGACGTGAATTTCAGTTAGAGCTTCAGCTTCCAGTAAAGCATCATTATGAGACTGGCTGTGAATTCAAAGTATAAGTTGGGCCACAAGTTTGGGATTGAGTAAGTGTGAGCCTGTGTTCCGACCGAGTTCATATGAGCTTGACAGAGTTCTGTTCAGTTTTGGGTGTGAATATTGGTTACAGACTCAGTTTCCAGTAAGGCTTGAACATCAGGCTGGCTGTGAACTGAAGCACGAGTTTGGCTGCAAGTCTGGGAGTGAAAAGGGTCCATTTGGTGAGAAAGTGTGAGAGTGGGGGCTAGAGGCTCACCCGTGCCGAGCCCCAAGCGGACGCCCCCGAGGAAGTCGTTGCTGGTGATCTTGTCATAGTCCCAGACGGTCAGCTCGAGGCACCTGTCCTTCAGTTCCTCCAGCGACACGTCCGGGTAGACAAAGGTGTGGTTCCACTTGGGGTTGCAGCTCTTCTTCACCACGGGGGTCTTCTGCTTGCTGCCCTTGGTACGGTCTGGCAGCAGGTAACTGCAATGGGTGTCCAGGGAGCCGACAGAGAAGGGAGCGTTGCTTTCTTTTGTTACGGCAGAGGTGTCATCTGACAAAATTCCCCCCTTTCTTTTCTTCCCCTTTTCTCCACTTTCTACGCCCTTGTACGACCAGAGCAACGGTGATGAGGCGGGCAGAAAATTGGGAAAAATGGTGAGGAAGAAGGCAAGAGTGGAGTTCTTTCTTTCTTGTTGGAGGTCGGTCTCTAATTACAAATTACAATGGACTGCAATAATTATTTTGACAACTGAAATTTCAGTTTTTCAAAACTGAAAGTAATTTTTTGGGGGAATTTTAATATTTAAGGAATGCTTTTTCCCTCACCAAATTTAAGTATAAAATAAAAGCAGAGTATGTGGAAATCACATCCAGCTTTGCATGCAATAGCTGTAGAGTGCATCTTTTTTATGTCTATAGCAAACGGTTTGTCTTTCCTTAAAACTTCCCAAGGGAATACCTGTTCATGAAAAAAACTTAACTGCTCAGAATTGTGGGACTCTCCCTTGAGCAAGCAAAACACAAATATAATTGCAGCCAGCACTTTTTCCTAGGAGCGAATCAATGGACAGGACTATATGTATGACATAAATTAAAACCGTGCTAGTAAAAAATCGGCGAGACACAGTCATATTGAAAGAATTCTACTTGCTATCTCCAATAGTTAAGTCTTCTAATTCTCAGACTATTGCAGCAATCTAGCTGACTTTTCAAGGTTTTTGCTGTCTATTATGTAGTAGCAATAGCAGCAATTACATAATAACAAAATATATTCACAGTTGCATGGTCCTCGAAAGCTTGATGGCAGACATGGTACATTCTAAAAGTAGAGGACATGTCCTTTCCGTAAGCACCAACACATGTAATAAATTTGCTGCATTTCTAGAAATGTTCCCAGCTTTCCAAATTTGTCAATCGTTCCATGCTCACTAAAATACTCTGACCAAATGTTTTTACAGCTGGTCACCCCCTAAAGGAAGCAGTCCAAATTCAGTAAACTGGACAGGCAAGTTCAAATTGAAGTTGAAGGTATTCGCACGAAGGAGAAATTCGTGAATGGATGTGCACGATGCCAGCAGCCGATCCAACCCCTTCGGCTTACCCATTTAGACGAACGAGACGCCAGCGGGAGGGTAACGGTGTTAGCCGGCGAATCTAACGGTTTTTATTGCCACAACTTTCATGAAACGATGACTGATTCGCTGTCAAACCAGAGATCATATGCACCGTGCGAGTATCCCCTCTGCCATTCCATAACAGAGTCAACGCCACAGCGTTGCATCGCAAAGGCCCGACCCTTTCGTTGAGTGACGCGCAATCATTGGACGAGCGTGACGAATTTCTCCTACATGCGAACGCTGCCCACTGAGCGGGAAAGAGCCTGACCTCTTGCAGAACGGGTCAGAGGTGCCGTTGGAGCGCGTTGCCATGAGGTTGCGTGCCTCCTTGACAAGCACGTGGAGGGAACCTCGGATGGGACCCTGCCTGGACGTGCGGTGCGTCACGTCTGGAGGCATGTACTTCAGTGCCAACACCAGGTCCCCCTTGTAGCTCAGGGGGGTCTCCGGGGACTCAAACTGCAACAAGGGGGACACGAGGCGACGTTTGAGCAGATCTGCGCGGTAGAGCCGTTGAAAAGCAGCTATGCTTAGAGTAGCGACAATGACTTGAATGACATATTCTCGACTACCAAGAGTCTTCCAGACATTGCCACAAGACATTTGGCACTGCTATTTTGTTGCTTAGTGCAGAGTGGGTGCAACCGACAACGTCTACAATACAAAAATGGGACTTCCAGAGCATTATATATGGCGTCAGGAAGCTCGGGTGACGTCGTTTTGCTTTGTTGCAAATTGTTTCAATGTTTCTAGAGGTTAAGTTGAGGCTTGGGCGAGTTGGTACAAACTTCGGAATTAAAAACAGAGCGAAAAGACTAGGACCAGACGAAGAAGTGGTGCGATTTTGAATGACGCTTCGGACAGCTGGCAACAATGGCTCTAAGCAACAAGATGGCTGAAGCGTCACATTACTTCGAAGTATAGCTTATATTTAGCAGCTCTAATGCGTGCCGCTTCCGAAGCGCCCAAGTGTCGCACCCTCCTTGTGGACAATGTGAGCTGCGACGCCCAAGCCAATATTCTGGTATGCTTGTGGTCGGCCCAAGCTACGTAGTCTCTAGATTTTGCTAAACCTTCAGACACTGCGACCTAACCTCTACATTCCAGCTCTAGTCTGAATGAAAACTTCTCCAGAATCTGGCAGGTACTGTGCCAACGATTCACGGCGGGCTGTTCACGCTCACACTGTCTGTGACGGAATGTCTGGTCATTGCCAGGTTAGTCGGGATTTGAGCGGATTGCGCCCCTATGTGATTTCGTGGTTCACTGACGCTAGTTGTGCTTGTGGCTCAATGAGGCCAGAGTAGCAAAATCACTGCACCGGTCAAATTGTTCCTGCTATGAACGGGGCCATCGAGCCTAGCTTTTAAGATAATTAATTGTATGAGGAATGTGCAGTAAAACATGCCGGACAAGGACCACAGCAGTGCATATATCTTGTGCAACTCAAGCTGCTTTGGCCAATAAAAATGTGTTTGGTATGAACAGTTTTCTTGCACTTTCTTCAATTCAATGTCTGGATAATTCAACACAATTTCAAGGTATAATCGAGGTTAAGTTACTAAGTTTACTGCAGTATTTTCTAAAACAAATTTTGTATACTAAGTTACAGAAACTTTTGAGAAGGAAATAAGTGTTTAGGAAACTATGCACAGGGCCTACAAAGATATTAACTGTGCAAGTGAGAAAGCTGAAAATGTTGTGCAAGGTAGCACCAGTGTGATGGCTGAATGCAAAAGCTTGGGCCAATATGTTATCATCTAAATCAAAAGTTACAATTAATTTTCAAAAGATCAGAAAGAAGTTAATCTTTTTTCTGATGTAGATGGAACCATTCTACCTGACATTGTGGCTCATAAATCGTGCCACCACACGCAATGCCAGAAGTCATTATCGTCCGCCTTCACAAAACTAGTTTTTCGTGCGCTGCAGTAGCTCGCAGTTTATTAAAGTTTATAGCACAAACATCTGCAGAGCCCTGCGCGAATAACAGTTTGAGTATCTGCATCCGATCCGCATATTTTGTAATACGCATTCGAACCGCATGCGTAGACTTTTTACATTACTGTGTCCGTATCCGCAATCCGCCAAAATCCGTCTAATCTTTATCCGCATCAGCCAGTTAACTGCAGATATCTGCTGATATCCGCAGATAATCCGTGGATATGAGGGGCTCTAAACATCTGCTAGTATATATGGTATAATATAATACAATCTCAGCTGAGCTAAATACAAAAACACTATTTCAAGACATTCATGAGTTATGAGAGCAGCCACATATGGAAATGCAGGACTTTCCTTTTCATATAAAGAAAATGGCATGTAAAAAAAGTGTGCCAAGCAAAGTTCTAAAATAGGTCTTGAAACAAACCAAAGCTATAAACTATCTTATAGTTATCTTCAGAAGAAGGTCTGAAGATAGAAGGTCCACTAAATTTAGCAGGGAAACTGAATTGAAGGAGGAAAAGGAGGAGTAGAGGGTATGGAGGAAGGCGAATAGCATACTTCCCCCCCTCCTCCTTCTCCTCAAGAGCTGTGCTCTAATTTCGCGTTACAGAAATTTGTAAACATCGTTCGTTTTTTTTTTTTTGGTGTCATTCTTTTCTTACAAAAGCCTCACCTATAATAAATTATATGTTAAAAGAAAACGGAAAAAACCTCAGTTTTAGTCTTTGACAAGATGAGAATGGCAGGGCATCTCTTTCCGATCCCCACCTTCCCAGTGGCGTCACAAAAGGGGGGGGCGGCGTGGGACCGCCCCGGGTGCAGCGCTCAAGGGGGTTGTCGCGGTGGGTTGGGGGTGGGGTGGGGGGGGGAGGGGGAGTCACGGCGGGCCACGCGAGAGCGGGGGAGGGGGGGGGGGGGGGGTCGCAGCAGGCTACCGCCCCGGGTGCTGCTGACCCTCGTGACGCTACTGCGCCTTCCTGTACGCTCTTGTTGCCCTCCACCATGCGCTCGTAGCCTTCTACCATGCTTTGGCTCCACTTGGACGCTCGAGGCTCACAAGAGGTGGAAACACTGTCGAAGGTAGGAAGCTGGATGCGGGACAACTGAAGCGCCTCCCTGCCATTCTCAACCTGTGAGTGACTGTAGTGTGCAGCACTTGGGCAGAGTGCCCAGAAACAAAGAGCGCCAGCACCCACCCTCTCTTGTAGAGAGTAGCACTTGACGTCGGTCTTCTCGAGGGTGTCGTAGGTCAGGGGCAGCATCACCTCGCCCAGGAAGTCATTGCGGCCAAACATGTCGCTGTGCCACACCGAGAGCCACAGGGTCCGGGCCTGCAGCTCACTCATGGTCACCCGGAACTGCAGGGCAACACATTTGTAGGTCACGTTAGGCACACCCCACAAATTCATCTCTTAACGACGCATCCTTAACTCGGGAAAAATATTTTGCATGCCCTCCAGGAGAGCAGTCAATTGCGTATGTGACTTGAACACTTTTTGCCAGTTTATTTGTTCTGTGCTAGTAGTATGACAAGTTTGATTTCAAAGAGTATAGACATTAAAGGGCAACTCCGGTCCATACTTTCGATTTTGCGATTATGACAGTTTTTAGTGCAGTCAGGCGCCCCTGAATTGCAAGGTGTAATTTTTTTCTCGTTATTGTGCGTAGTTTTAAAGATATGATGACTCAAAGTTTTGTTTGGGTCGCCGCCAGCAAAACCAAAACTAGCCACTCGAGGCCCCGGCAACACTGGAAATCTGCCGCAATGTGAACGTGATGTCAGGATCGTTCTCGTTCAACGAGTACGCAGGCCGAGCGGCACCTAACTCTGTTGCGCTAGCCGTCTAAAGATAGGAGGTAAGCTGATTTTATTTTAGTTCTGTATACGTGGTAGTTATTCAGCATATGTAGCAAGGGTTAGTGCGTATACCCAAAAGCTAGCGACGGGAAAACCCGTGAACTTGTTCGGTGCCGTACTCGGCGACCGCCGCCGTGCGTGCGCTATGCCGTACTCGTTGCTTGTATACCCAGAAGCTAGCGACTGGAAAACGAGTGAACTCGTTTGGTGCCGTACTCGGCGGTTGTTGCCGTGCATACGGTCTTCCGTACTCGTTGCTAAGGCTAAATTGTCATCGGGGCTCCGTCGATGGAGCGGCGTTGCTCTACGCCGCGCTGCCAGTGACGCACAGTACTGGGGGCCCTCTCGCTTTCCCGCTGCAGGTCAGTCGACACGAAGCTTTGAGGCTCTCCGGCGTGGGCCGCGGCGCCCAAACACATGTGTGCTGGGCTGTACATGTCTGTTTTTTTGTTAGTTTTTCCTCGGGCGCGTAAAAGCCGAAGTCCAAAGTCCACTCGTCGGACAGCGTTCACCCACACCTTTTCGAATTTCCGGTCCGTTGGAAACTTGTGAAAAAGCACCTCCGGGTTGCGCAGCGGGTTGTGTGAGCAGCCCACAGCGCTACAAGTTGTACTCGGCATCTTTCGAGGAACAGCTGGGCAGTCTTGGGCGCACCGAGTTGCTTGCTAAAACGAGTCTTGGAGTCCTCACAAGCAAATAAACAAAAGGCTATACCGAAGCTACACAGGCTACAGATAAAAGCAACGGCTAAACACGCCAATCACAAGCTGAAGAAGCGGTACTAGCGCCTCAAAAAAGCGGACTCTACGCAACACCCGGGCCGGAGAAAAAAAAAAAAGAGAACAATACGGACGTCACGGCCCAATGTTGCTTTAGCGATCGGCAAACCGCTGGCCGCCCGCTAAGGAGCAGCGGCTCGCGGCGGGTGGCATTTTTATTATCAGCATTAGTTGAGGATGCGGCGTCCCACGGACGTAATATTTTGGCTGGGGTGGTATTTTGTGTTACTACAGCGATACCAGTAATTTATATGACTTTAAAGTTTTGGCCGGAGTTGCCCTTTAAAAAGAAAGACCTTTTTATTTTTTACTTTTCTAAAACTAATCTGCATAAGGCCCTTTACTCTCAGCTCGCCTCACACGAGCTCACCTCTAGCTTGCACAGACACGTTGATGGACAGAGCTTTTTTGGGAGCAATGTGTCGCATTATTATATCACTTAAAACTATGATTTCTCAAATAGATACATCCTTTGCATTACATGTTTGTAGGTGCATGTGTTATGAGTCTTCGACTGTGCTCTAACCTAAGTAAAATAAAACAAACTATATATGATGAGTAGGTGAGTAAAGACACTGTGCAGAATATGTTTATAGCATTTTCCTTTCTTCCTAATTCTCTCAATAATAGGGAGACCAATAACAAAATATTTTTATGTTTTGCTTTACTTAAGCCTATATCGGCGCAGGTTTTGCGCAATTCTTAGCAAAAATGGCATTTTGGCGCAAGATGTAGCAAACTTTATTCATGGCGCAACGCTTCCATCACTGCAGAAAAGCGGAGGAAGCGAGGAGGTCAGTTGTGATGTTTGCTTGGTGGTATTCAAACAGAAATCGGACTGCCGGACTTGAACCGCTAATGACATTGCACAAACTGGGGCATTAAAATGTTAACATCCCAGGTAAAAGGGCCACACACTCTTTTACCATAAAATGAAGAGCCATAAGACACCAGATAAGGCTAAAAATTATAAATAGTGTGTGAAAAACAACCAATACATTTCTACATCCAGTGATACGTTACTGAATCTGAACATTGTGTTGTACTCTAAAGAGGCACTACATTGAACTTTCATTACGAGGAAGCAATAGAACTTCTAGCATGAGATTTATAGTTTCCAAAGAAAAGAGCTTTGGAGACCAAATAGCAAGACTGACTATAAGGTTTCTCACCTTCAGCACCTCTTCAAACACAGGGTTGAGGGTGTGCTTCTTCACTTTGGTTTTGCGCTTGCCACTTTTGGTCTTGTCCGGTAACAGGTACACCTTCACGTACCTGAAGATACAAAAGAGGAACACTTAGCGATAACGGCGACACGCATATAATGGGGGGATTGCACTCAAGTTGTCTATGAAGTGCTCCACTGCTCAATCTGCAGAAGCTGGCCAACCTCACAGAAGGTCTTTTCAACCTCAAAGAAGGCCTGACAGTCTTTATTGCAGATGGAATGCAAAAACCAAATTTACCAAACATTTAAAAAAAACAAAAACAGAAAACTTAAGACAAATGAATAAATATAAGATCATCGCACAACCTACAAAATTGCCCACCTCCTGGTGAAAATTAAACCATTTCCCACTCTTATTTCCTCCAAACCCTCCATGCACTCTTTTCTCCCTTCCCAAAGGGTCAGGCCTCTAAGCTACTCCCTGCCAAAAGGAGGAACGCAACTTTCTTTCTTGCAAACAAAGGAAAAAGCGAGGGTAGCTTTCCTCCTTCTTGGCTGTGTGTCTAACTGTAATAAAGAACTTGAATAAACAAAAAAAAAAAAAAAAAAGACAATGAGGAGACAAGATGTTGCCTGTTGCAAGTTAAGAATAGCGGAACAAGCCCCATGCACAAACCCCTCCACTCTTTTCACTTTAGTAGAGCAAACACTGGAAAGGAGATTAGTGGAAAGCAGGAAACGATCAATCACAAAGATCTTTGTGGGAGGGGCTTGTACTGCCATCCTGAACCTGCCACAGACTATAGATGCTGGAACTGGAAAAGCGTGGAATTCAAAAAGATGATATGCAGAGCCCCAAGGCCAACATAAAGCGAGACAAGAGAAAACGGGCCCTGCTTTCTGTGGGGTTAGCTACAAAACCTGCTGAATTTGGATGAGAAAGAAGCGAGAGTGAGAAGAAATAGTTTTCAATACGGTGTTTCTCTATAAGAAGGTCAACTCTGTTATTGAGTCTCCCTTGCTACCAAGCTCCTTCCACATTCCCCAACAACAAAATAGAGCTGCAACTTTTTTTTTTTTTTTTTCCCAACTTTGAATTGGGCTCTCCATTGACACACATGTAGCTTATGTATGGCAGGTTAGATAACCCCCTGACAAGAACTTCTTCACTAATAATTCTGAGGATTTAAGAGGAGTGTACTACAAATGATTACTCGTCATTTTTTTTGTCTTTTGTCGCATATATCTGCTTCCCTCTTAAAGGACACATGCAAAGAAAAAAAAATTTTTTTTTAGACAGCTTAGATGGAAAAAGGATGTCATAAAACGATTTTACAACGAAGAAACAAAATTTTTAGAGCTATATTTACGGCGCTATACGAATTTGTAGTTGGCGCTCGCGGGAGCCGCTGCTGGTCACGTGGTAGGCCCGCGCGCCGCCGCGCTGCGTCGCCGCCGCACGCTGAGCGTTGTGCGAACGCCGCTTCAACGCGTTTCTCCACGCCGCCGTCGCCGCCGCCGCACAAGTTCGTCTGCTTCGGGGCGCCGCCGCCGTCGTCTGACCGGCGCACAGGTCTATCACGTCTGCTTGCGCTTTTTCAGGAGTTTCCTTTGGGCTCTAAAAGTTACTTATTCGTCTTGGTTTTTTGTTATACTTCAAACAAAGATGAATAAGTTACCTTTAGAGGCCATAGGAAGCTTCCGAAAGAGCACAAGCACCACGTGATAAATAAAGACCAGTCACGTGATAAATACAGACCACTTTTCCGCGGTGCCCGCGGGCGCCAACTACAAATTCGTTTTGCGCCGTAAATATAGCTCTAAAATTTTTTTTTCTTCGTTGTAAAATCGTTTTATGGCGTCCTTTTTCCATCTAAGCCGTTTAAAAAAAATGTTTTTTTCCTTTGCATGTGTCCTTTAAGGCCTGCCAGCTGTCTGGGGACACAATAAACATGAATTGATTGATAGATAAAATGTCATAAGTTGGACTTTAAGAGGTGATGTATTAAACAAAATGAAACATGCCTTAAAAAATTTTTTTAAGTACTTTGTTACAAAGTTTACAACATATTTCATTGAAAAAATAACTTGTAGAGCCCTTCCACTTTACATGAAGATGGAGGACCTGTGAAGCTATTATTTTTACGTCTAGGACGATGTGTAGAGACGGACGTCTAGGACGACCTCAAGGACAACTTCAACCTCAAGGATGACCTCGACGATGACGCCTAGAGGATGACGTCTAGGACGACCTCAAGGACGACGCCTAGAGGACGATATTAGGATGACTTAAAGGACGACTTCTAAGATGACCTCGAAGACTACGCCTCGAAAAACCTCTCGGACGACTCTTAGGACGAAGTCTAGGACGACCTTAATGACGACTTTTAGGACAACCTCTCGGATGACCTCGAGGACAACGCCTAGAGGACGACGCCTATGATAACCTCTCGGGCGACCTCAAGGGTGACTCCTAGGACAACCTCGAGGACGATGCCTACAGACGATAACAAGGGGTCAGGACCTCACTATCTAATTATGCCAAGGAAGGTTGACTTACGCTGGTTGCCCCCTCTTTTTATTTTTATTTATTCATACTTGCCACGACCAATGGTGAGTTTTCTGTCAACATCTGCGGACGCATGTTTCCCAAATCCTAGAGCATAACAGCTTCGCTGTAAAATTTTATTAATGCAATATTTATGCCGTGAGACGCACTACGAGTACCAAGAGATTTCGTCGGATCGCACACTGGCTCAAAAGTGCCCCTTTCAAGGTCAACCTCACAGTGACGTCGAAGTCACGTTGTAAAAATTCCATTGGCTGGATTCAGCACGGAGGAGAGGTACGCCCATTCCTGTTTGCTTGTGTACAACCTCTCCTCTGCGCCTGTGCGTGCTGCAAAAAGACGCTACAAAGAAGCTTGAAAAGGAAGATTGGCTCGCATGCTCCAATCCACAGCTAAGTGTCTTGTGGCACAAAGTTTCTATTCGGGAAAAATGTATTTCGTAATGTGTGTGGCCTTTCAGGTAGCTTAAAAAAAATGCCTCTTGAGCATGCAGTGTGCCTTTGTAACGCACTAGGCCGAAGAACCAGGAACGACAAAGCGGAACAGGTACACAGGGCACGACGTAACTTTCAGCTGGATAATTTAGTAAAGAAAAACAAATACATAAAACGAACGCTTGCTTAGGGAACAGAATTCAGGTAAGCAAATACAAGGGCACCTGACTCCTGCCCTCTGTAGATAATTAAGTTCTTTGCCTGACAATGGCAGCCACCGTGCACTGATGCAGGCTTCACTGCCATGCGATTACATTATCGTAACATACTCAGCAAGTGCCCGCTCAAAATCGGGAGATAATCGTGGAAAACTGTGGGATGGGTGCCTGCTACATCCAAAAGCGAAATTGGAGAAGGAGCACACAATAGGGTGAGCTTTTGCTTGGTCCGACCACTGAACTCAGAACGGCCGTCGTTTGCGTAGATAGACGACCGTGCTAGCGCGTGAAAACAGAACCTCGGCATCCTTTTTCGCCGATGAAAAAGCCCCCTATGACGCTCAACGCAGTTCTCGTGCCATTGGCACTCGGCACAAAATCTGACAGAACCGTCCATAAGCCTAACCACTTTCACAATTTCACCGTCTGAAAACTGAGCACAAAATGTTCGTCGACATAAATATATCCGGCGGACGAAACATGTCCAAGGGCTGGGCAACTCCTTGACCCCAACTTTGTGGGCCATGTGGCATTGCTTCCACAACTTCCCACTTGCAGCCATAACTGGCGCATGTGTGCTGCCACGCTTGGTTTGGCTTGGCGGCTTAAATAACTTGGCGGCTGCTAGGGGAAAAGAAATAAAATGAATACTGACGATCGTTTTAGTTTCGTTATGCGAGACGGTTCGTTGAGAAAAAGTAAAAAGTGATTAGCTACGCACCATCTAGTCTTTGTCACTAAAGTCGCTTCACTCGTGCTATGCATTGGCTACTAAGGTGCTGCTTGCTGGCCGCAGATGTAACAGCTGCCACAGCCGACTGGGTGCTTGATGTGTCTTTTGCAGATTTTCTTAACTTGCTTAAAATAGGGGGTGGGCACTTGGTATGTTTTTTGATGATATTTGAAATGTCTCAAAAAAGTAGGCGGTGAACGCTTATTGTGACGTGGGCACAAGCTCTGTATTTTACGGTAAATGGACTTCCGTGTATTTCTCATACTCTTCATGTTTAAAACTGCCCTTTACATTGCTGTTTTTTGTTTTTTTTAATTTTGGCTCACATTCGTGGCAATTACGGTGCTCTGCTAGGTGGCCAGACAAAGACTGCCTGACTGTCAAAACGTGTTCATTGTTTCCGTCATTAGCACACCTCCTCCTCTGCCCGACGCATGCCCACCGACGCGGAAAGGAGGGATTTCATACATGACACTCCCAGCACACTCGCAGAACTTATTGCAGTGCTGCCTTACAAACACTTCTTCTGACATGGCCGGTTCATTCGTCAGCTTTGTTGGTCAGTCCTCGTCTAGTAATCAAGCAGTTCACCGTGACCATTGTAAATACAACCCAAAATTTAAAGGAAATAAAAACAATGAGAAACACAATGGGCCAATTCTTAGCAAGAAAAAGTATACAGCACGAGAAATATGCAGCCTATTTAATAAAATTGTACAGCAGCGATGCCTGCATCGGAGCACCTTCGCCGTCATTGTCGGACAAAGAGTTCCTGTCTACCTCTTCCTCCGTCTTGTCCGCGTTTTTTCGGTATAGTACGCTAAGGACGAACAACTAACCGCCTTAACTACAGTTGCCGACACGACGGGCACAACAGGGAGATCTTTCGGTAGTCCGGCCTCCAGTGCCAGCTCCCCATCGTCAATTGGGAAGGATGTTCAACCGTTGTGACCCCTACCGGCTAAGTAGGAAACTAAACCCACGGGGGCCACGACACAAATTATTCGTTCGTGTTTTGGACGCAGTCGAATGCCGCGTCAGCATTCGGCTGGAGCTCTAGTTCGATTGGTGGAGGGGGAACACAAGGCAAGGTTGGCTGCGGCGTTTGTGTCTTATCCGTGCGCTCGATTGAGGAAGGTGAAGTAAAGAATCCAGTCCACGAGTCTCGGGTAAACACCGGGCTCCGTGGAAAAGAAGTCAGACAAAGCGCTCTCTGCGGTTGGATCCCCTCGCCAATAGCACTTGGGCGTCTCATCAGCCCCTGGAGCGTGCACACACAGTCAAAGCTCTGCTTAGGGCAAAGAGTGCGTGCTGCAGGCATCTGAAAGAGGTGCCCGTTGCTTTCATCCCATCAGTAACCCCTGGCAAGGAGATCAAACCATAGGGGGTGGTTTGTCCAGATAATTTTTTACAGAGCTCGGTGTTTAACGAACACGAGGCCTGCAGATTGGACCCTTTACGCCATTTTCCTTCATCGATTATGGGACACGCATTGTACACGAGAGCTACGTCAACGGTCAGCTGAAACCCGCGTCGAATGGGCACTGACCGATTGAACGCCAGCATCAGCCGAGCGCCGAGTCAGCGTTCGGCTACGTCGGCCAAGCGCCACGTCGGAAACACAAATAAGTACTTAGCATTGTCGTCCCAACGGGTTCTGTACGTAGCCACGAGGGATGTTACGGTCGAACCTCCTTCCTGATAGCTGTTGCGAGCGTCCCTTTGGCGGAGGCAATCGACGTCAAACTCACGGGTCGGAACGATTTCGCTTGGTGTCGACGGGGGCCAGGTTGCGGCACTCTTTGACGTGCACCTCTAGCAGGCCGGACTTGTAGTTGTACACGATGGCGAAGAGGGCCTCTCCCGTGACGGCCACCGTGCCGTAGCGGCCACCTCCAGCGGCACTGTAGACGCTTGTCATGCTCTCGCTCCGTACCTGTTGGGCAGTCGGGCAACAGAGGAGTGCACGCCGGTCACATAAGAGGGCGGAGTTCTATAGTCAATGACAAGAGTTTGGGGAAAGCTCCTCCCACTTCGGCAGAGTGAACGCTGGAGAGGAGGCAACCTCCTTTCCAGCGTTTGCGCTGCTCAAGTGGAAAAAGGTGGGCGTAGCTTCCCCTCCTAAAGGGGGACTGCAACAAAATTCTAGCAGCTATTTTATCATCTATATGTCAACCATGTTCTGGCCACACCACAGATCACCAAGTTTTTGCTTGAAAGGCACCAAAACAATATTTAAAACGAATAAGCCGGTTACCAGGTTGAACCTGGTGGACGTTCCCAAGGCTACTTCGAATGTCATTACGTCCCACAACTCCCATAAAAGCAGTGCTGTTCCATGAAAGTACAGCACCGAGCTCCAAACGCTCGTAGGCCGTCAAACTTGGCCGAACCGGATTTCCATTCTCTTCTACGCCAATTCAAGTCCTGCAGGAAGCGGGAAGAAGGGTGTTCAAAGCAGAGGCAAATCACTTTTTCGCCTCCTCTTGAGGTGGTTTCCAGCCGTCGGGCACATCGATTGGCCAGGTTGCAAGCTTGGACGCCACCAAGTGGCGAAGCTCACAACCCTGCCAGCTGGCCATAGCCTTGCCCGTGAAGATAAACATGATGCCATGTCGGGAGATCCGATGCCACGGAGACGCCGGATCCCCCGACAGGCATTGCGCTCTCCAACAGCCACTCTTCGAGCGCTCGCTGGAATTGCCCACTTAGACCAAATAAATATAGCAATTCGTTCAAAACACAAATGTGCAGTTGTAATTGGCTGATTTTGTGGGTTGCGTTTAACTTATTGCTGAACGTGAGAGGCACATTTAAATTTAAATTTCAGTATCCTTTTAACCTGTGACCAACTAAAGCGCAGGAGTCCTAAAAGGTTTTAATCTCAAGGAACCGCCATCTTGGTTGACCGAAAGCCGAGGAATCCCTGCTGGTCTCGGCATCAACTTTACAAAATGGCGCAGAAGCCTGCAGACCTTGTACATCACTAGTGTTCCGCGTTTTCGGATAAACCCGAAAAACACTGACAAACACTCGTTGGTAAAATATCCGTCAATTCGGATTTATTAGAAAAACTCAGAATCTCGAGCCCGCAATGGCAAAAATAAAAGCAAAAAGGACGGTATTTTACACATAAATTTTGAGAGAGCACAAATTTGCTGGCTCCAAGGAGAGTTTTCCTTTGAAGTTTCTGACTATTCACAAAAGGGAGCTTCCCGTTTATCTCGTCAAGGTTCGTTCAGAACGACAACATGTTTGTATGGGTCACGCAAAAAGTCACTGTTCCCGTTACCAGTTTGCACCATACTATATATTGGCTTCTTGGAAGAAGGATGGGAATTTTTTAGAGTGGAGCTGTTAAGGGCTAGTGTCCCCAAGATCATGTCCCCCACAAAGAAATGAAGACACCAAACGCTGAACACCTACCGTCATCCATGAGCGACGGCGGCAAGCCACATATCTGGTTGCTGCCGTCGCTCATAGATGGCGGTAGCCTTTCCACTCTAACTTGCCGACTTGAGGCCGGCCATTACTTTCCATTGTACAGCTCCGCTGGTCTTCCTTCTTCACCAAAATAAAAAGGCTGAAAGTTTTTTTTGTTTTTTTTATGACAGTGAAAGCTATGAACTTGTAAATTTCCTAGGAGGGGACAGCATAGCTGAAGCTTCTTTGCTTAGGTGCTTAGTTAGTCAGTCCAGGTGTTTAGTTAGTTCCCAGGTGTAACTCCTGGTGTTTAGTTATTTCAAGTATTGACATTATTTGAAGGGACACTGATTTTCAGGATTTGTTGCGGGATGTTAGTATCGCCAATTGGCAAGGGTGCCAATGCCAAATGCAGCTGCAGACATATCAGTCGATCAGGTAAGTTCTTTTAAATTTTAGGTATGCTTGTGTCCGGATATTAGTTATATTTACATTTTCTTCTGAAAAATTCAAAACAATAAAATTAAACTAAAAACTAAAATAAAATTAAACTAAAAACAAAAATAAAATTAAACTAAAAAAAAAAAAAAAATAAACTAAAAAAAAAGAAAAATCTAAAAAAGAAAACTTCGGTAAAGTTTAAATTTTTGTCGACAAATAAACTCAGAAAAACTCCCCCCCAATTACAGGAAAAATGAACTAAAAAACACGGCATCCTAACCATAAGACACATAGCAGGGATTGTTTGAGGCACAGTAATGCATCAATGGATGGCTCACACATGCCAAAATAGTGCACAAACTGGAAGAACAATTTACTACTGGAAGAACAATTTACTTCAGGATTTTCAGGGAAATTTGGAAGCTCAGGGAGACCTCTAGGTTCCCAGGAACCCCGTTTGGAAAGCGAAGCTCTAGTGAACAACTAAGCCGAGATCATTAGGAAGTTCTCCGGAGCGTCGAAAACATCTCACTTCCTGTCCAAGCGTGCCTTGTGATTAGGGTTCCTCGTTTTCGGTGTTCCACGACAAATCCCAAAGGAGTAAGTGCCTGGAGCCGGTTTGTCGAAATTGGGGAAGAACCGAAAAACCTGGACAGAGACGTCCTGCCATAAGAGAAACCCAGGCTCCACAGGAAGAGATCTTTATCTACTGCTTTACTCTGTGTGGACCCGGAACACAGCCCCACTGAACTGTCCAGGAGGCTGCTCCTTTATCTTGTTTCCTCCTCTTATCTTTGCCGGGACGTTTTACAAGTATTCGGGTCACACGCCCATTCCCCGGAGTTTGCGGAATCTCCCAGCCCGCCCGCAGCATCCCCTGCTCTTCAACGCAGGCTGCCCTGAACGGCAATATGTTGTCAGACACCAAAAATACAGAAAGAAGCCGAATCTGTAAGAAAAATCAGCCCTTAAGAAAAAAAATTAAAAAAGAAACTCCGACAACATGGAACCCTATTTACGATGCAAACATATAGAGCTAGCGCCGAAATAAAGCCAGTTAGTATAGGCTAAAACGATACAGATAACCTTAAAACTAAAATAAGTTTTAAAAAATATCATAAAAAAAAATAATAACGTCCGTTCGTTTTATACTTCCCCATCAGCCCATTGCAAGGTCAAGATAGAAAAGATAAAATGAAAACTGCTTTGACCGAGTATGCATTGGTGGATGATGTGCAAGATCCCTTCAAAACATGTGAACATCAAAAAGGAAGCCAAAACTGGGAAATGATGTCAACAAAGTGCATTTGACCGACTTGACATAACAAGGCTGACCAGTTCACCGGAGGCTAGATTCCCAAAATAATCTTATGACAAGAAAGGTGCTTATTAAAAAACCCTAAGAACAAATCCATATACACAAAGTGAAGTTATTGCACGTTTTGCGTTAGTTACGATGCAATCCTACAACAGCTACAGATGTGTCTTACGCATTTTTTACAATCAAATCCACATGGCCAACAACCTCAACTGCTGACGTCATTGCAACGACCACCGGGCATTTATTTGCCTATGTGATCTCGACGCATGTCCAGACCCCAAGCAGCAAGGGAAAAGTAATAAGTACTTGTAGCTGAACGCCGTGGAAACAAATGCTGGAACCACAGACAGATTGAGGAAGCTACGACGGCAATGATCCCACCGACCAAACGAATGCCAAGGGCTAGCAAGAAACACGTGGCCTAGAAAGTCATCCCTTTGCAACGTTGTTCCAACGTCCCTGGCCATGATTGTCTGGTTTGCTGAATGGAATATGCCCGCACGACCTTTGTTGACCCTTTCCGAATAAATAGTTTGAACCCCGACCTCAATTTTTCAGGTAAGAAGACCAGTATCTTCGTCCCATCGTCCCCTTCTTTTCAGAGGAAGTGGTGGCAGACAATCTTGTCGAAAAGAAACATTCTCATTGAATCTTTTTCCTTGTTATATACAGCTCAAACAAATACCGTATGGATTGCATTATGCAACGTGTGTACATACACTTCTTTTACTTTGCCCCTTTTATTCCGACATGACGGTACACCAACACACCTCAAGTAAGAGCGGTATTTCGGAGCTACGCAATGCTGGTCCAACCTTCCACTGCCGAGCATCACGCTAGCATCGAGTTGTGTTGGAAAAGATTGCTCCCGAGGCGGTTCCCAAGATGCAGTTCAACAGTGCAGTGCCAGCGCGGTTCTGCTCCTAATATAAATAGGTATTTACGCAACTCCTGCTGACACTCGCAGTTCCAACCTATCTCTCTGGACGTCGGCTCCCTCCTGCATCTCCAAAACCACAATAAACGTGGCAGCGATTCGTCTCCATGCACGCTGCTTTGCAAAACCGTGTAGCAGTGCGGGCAGTCTCCTTTAGCAACAATGATAGTTGTGTTGACTCAGTAGAGATTGAGTCCGTAGCAGTCGACTTAAGTGGTTATCCCGTCCTCGGCAGAGCTGGGTATTCGGGCCCGTTTAAATCCAGGTTTCGTAGAGTTGACTTTACACCGCACGGACGCAATCCCCAAACAACCGTTGCCGGAAAGGCAGCCTACCATCATGTCGAGCTCTCCGATTGGCTGCTCGAGTTGCCAAAGGCGCTGTCGCCATAGCAACAGCACGCTCTTGCTGCGATGGGGAGCCTGTGGGAAGCCGGAAGTTCTCGTTTTCCCATAGGAGAACGTCCCTTTCCTCCTCTCACTCAAGAAAGCATTCGTGAATACCAATTTCTCCACTACTTAGAATGTGCGTGACTTACAAACTTCTTGGCTAAATTGTCATAACCTAAGACGTTCTTCGTCAATCTGGCCTCTGATGTCTCTCTCCCCATAGACGATGCAAAGTGAGAGGCTGGGACAGCTTTCGTGATAATTCCTCCAACAATGCTACGCAGACATCTCAGTGTGGACTAGATTTTATTGCAAGGTACTGGTTTTATGCAGACAATCAACAATTTCATTTCAATGCTGTCCAAGCTCCGATGTCTCTACTCTCACAAAGTGACACAAGCATCCCATCTCCCTGTAATGGTACACCAGTATAACTTCCTAAATGTGTAGCATTAGTTATCTTCCACCTGTGTTCCTTAGCAGAGCACGCACATCAACACAGTTTGTAAGTAGTCTCAATAGTTTTGAGGCATTCTCCTTTTCTTTTCTTAGTGTCAACTTTCGTATTTCCTCAGTCTCGGGTTTCTTCAAAATGTTCAATGGAGGTTTGCACACTATATTACCCAGGAAGTTGAGTAAACATATGGAGTGTGAAATGTCTTTAAACCTATTACTCCTGTCCCGCCGTCACCATAATAACTTCAGGTACACAACCAGCTATGTACCTACCAACAACGATGTTCAGCTCGTCTTTAGAAATATGGTGTTTTTGGGTCGCAGGGGAATGGCACTCACGCTTACGCCAATGGAAGACAAGCTTGTCTGGCTGCGGCTGCAGGAGGTGTAAAGACGCTCCAGTTCTTCGTCCCGGTGGCTGCTGTCTCTGTCCGTACTGTCTGCACTGCTCTTCATGGATGAGGTCTGCAAGAGGATTGAGATCAGTACCTGCTGTCGAAACAAATCACGGAAAAGGTGTGCCTACAGTCAATCTACACTCGCGGTGTGACAACCCAAGACTTAACAGCTTCAGGTTGTTGGGCCTCGAGTTCTTATTGACTTCGGAACAGCGGCAAAATCCGCTCCTCACTGTATTCCAAGAAAAACAATTTGCAGGCTATTTTGGTCATGCATGTCTGAGTTTTTGAATGCAGAATACACGCACGAATTTTCTATGCAGAGTCAACGAAACCAGTTTGGCGTGACATTACCTGCACAACCTGGCAGACTTCAGGGGACAGACGAAGGTAAAACATTTGTTTGGTCGTTATACTTTTTTTGGGGGGAAGGGGGGGGGGGGGGTGAAGGGAACCTATTTTACGTCAAAATTAGGTCAAAGCACTTCAAAAGAAAACACATGGAAGCCTCACTCATAGTTGCAGCAGACGTCTCACAAAGAGATTAGCACCTTCAGAGTGAAGCATTTAGTACAGACAAAGAGTCGGTTAACCAACACAAAACAGAGGCTCCACCTTGGCAAGTGTTTGACTCCACTACAAAATTGTCTGGCAACACAATAAAAGCAGCTACTATTTGGTGACCCAAGCAATCTTTGCCAGCGATGCACCTTCACAAAAATGTTCTCCTGTCAATCATTAGCGACTCTCGAAAATAAGAAAAGTTGCTAACCAAAGGTGCATCAGATGGGTGGATGGATGGCAGTGGCTATTCCCTTTATACCGGTTGGCAGCTTGCGCCAATCAGCGTAAGAATATTTACACCAGTCCCCTTTGATTTTTGCCATAGATTCCGCCTCTCGTTAAATAGTCTCACCCATCGTTTGGCATGTTGGTGACCAGTGTTCGTCGTTCAAGTCGAGTGGGTCAGGGTCCTTGCAGCGAGCAGCAACATGCTACGAGAGGTCCTTGACTTTTTTTATCAGTTGGCCTAGTGCTTAGGCCAGCAGACTGCACCCTCCCCCCTAACCTTGGCCATCCTTTTGCTCCACTTCCTCACAGAACGGCACAGCTCTCCCCTCTACTGAAACATTTACCTACCGTCCTGTACACTGCACGAAAGCGTTAGCGCTAACACAACATCAATGCTTTTTTTCATTTGACTTGGAAAAGGCATTGGCGAGCCCCAAATTTTACCACTTAGGTCAGTGCCCTAAATGAGCATGTTTCGTCACACTAGTATTTTTGATGACAGTTCTCCCTTGATTCTCAGGGAAAAAAACGGAAACCGCTTGTTCGCACTAAACAGTGTTGTGCAGTGTACATCCTTACAAGTTAATCACATCCAATTAAGCACTATTATCACCTCAGTGTTATGTTTGCTATGCATACCATATCCAGTAGTGAACTGAAAACCAGCCTGTTGAAACCTGCAAAGTTTTGAGAAGGGCAAGAGGCATCCTGCGAGCGAGCTGTCAATCTGTAGGCTACCGTCGACGATTAGAAAGAGGACAATAAATAGCAAGCATCTCCCCTCCCCCCCCCCCCCCGCCCCTTCAAAAAAAAAAAAAATAGGAGTCTTCTCATAACTGCAGTCTGTTGTAGGTTAAGAATAATAGAACAAGCCCTACCCAGAAAGTTTTATATTTGCTATGATTGGCAGTTTCCTCCTCTCCAGTTTCTCTCTGTAAAAGTGTAGAGTGGAGGGCCTTGTGAGGTTAGCCTGTCCTGCTATCCTTAACCTGCAACAGACTGTAAACCGTAGTTACAAATGGTAAGGTATGACGGTTGTGCAGGAGCAGTTACTGAAACGTCCAGTAGCATAGGGTGGAGGACTGAACAGTGTGGTGAGAAACCCACCCCCTCATTAGCCGCTAAATCTGGCATTCCCTGCATTGCTAAGATCAACAGAAGGTGAGTCACCTCATCGGCACCTACAATGGAGATGGTGGGCAGCAGTCTGTTGGAGTCATCGCTGCCTCCTGACGAGTGTCGATTGCGTCCCCTTAAGCGGTTGCGAGGTGAAGAACGGTGAGAGCCGCTGCTTTCGTCTGCTGAATGAAGATTGCAAACAAAATCACTGTCAGTAGTTTGCTTCAGCCAGCATAACACAACTCCCAAATGCTTAATTGTGCCATTTGGTGCTGCGAGCAGTCGTGCTGCGAGCAGTCGTGCTTGGAACAGCAATTCATGCAGGTTTAAGCTCTGTAATAATTTTATCCAGGTTTTGGATTAAAAAAATATATATACATATATTAAATTTTTGATGATATACAGACACTAACTATAATAAAATAAGAATAAAAAATCCCGGAACATCTTTCTTTAGGATAGCAAGATCAATGGCAAAAATTTTTCTTTCTGGTTTCAGTTATGTGACCTGAATATGTAAAAGGCAAATCCCAGAAAATCCTAATAATGTTAAACTTGGCTCAAGTTGGGTTGAATTGAGGTGCTGCTGCATCAGGTTAGTGAACTTTGCTGGCAAGTATCAGACAATTAAAAAATTAATACAGAGGTTAGAACTGAGTTGTTAATCAACACATTAATTTCTGCACACAAGCCACTCACTCTTTTATTACGTTAAAGGGGCACTAAGTTCTTTCTGTAGAAGCTTGATTTTGATGGTATATTCTTTGTTGTGATTTTCAATAAAAATGACCAGTTCTAGATGGCAAGACGTCCTAGTGAACTCACAGCAATAAAAATAATTACACGAGCACTATCTTCTCTTGGGGGCGCCATCCTAGGGTCTCCACCACCTCCATAAAATTTGACCAATGAAAATAGTTAATTATATGGAGATTCCAGAACATTACTATTATTGCTCTTTCTAGGCGCGTTGTGCATTATATTCTGACGAAAATCTCAAATCTTTGGATGTAGATGTAATACAGCCAAACCCGTTTATAACGTACAGCAGGAAACACTACGATCAGTTCGATATAGCAAGTAATTCGATATAGCAAAAACCATTTACAACGAACTTCCATGATGCGTTCGTTGTAAGGCGCGAGCACCTCTTCCTCTCTCATCTCTTCGCTTCCACCTTGTAACAATGCGCTGGAAAGTTTTTTTGTTTTTTTTTCATGCGTGCAGAGTTTTTTTTTTTTTTTTTTTAGCTATTTCGCTTTTTAAATTGCTTCTCTGGTTGTCTTGGGATGAAGTTTTTTTTCTGTGCGTGCGTACAGTGTAGTTTTTAGCTTTCTTCCCATTCTAAATCGCTTCTCTTCGCCCAATTTCGTTCGCAACTTGAGCTTTTAGAACTTTCTTTCTTTCCCACCTTTTTTTTTTGGTGGGGGGGAGGAACAGTCTAGAAGACGATATTTTGCACATTTTTGGAAGCCTTTCCGGGGCGAAAAGTTCAATATAGCCAATATGTTGTTCGTTATAAAAAGTACTTTTTACATGCATTTTTATTAAAATCTTCCACAAGTTCGATATCGACAATAATTCGCTGTACGTGGGTTCGTTCTAAACGGGTTTCACTGTACAGCAATTATCGTTTGAAAATTCCATCCAACGACACCCCCTGTTGTCTGCTCCAAGGCACAGAAAGAGGGGTGTGTCACAATCTTTGATTACACTTTTTAATAGGGAGATGGAGCACCCACAAGAGTAATTTCGGGTTTTTGAGGATGTTCTGAGCCCGCAGACTGACTTATCACCATAAATAGACAATCTCAAAATCCACTTGAGTGCCCCTTTAACTCGTAAAATGTTAGTCAATGCAGTTTATGTGTGACTCTCAGACTAAAGTAGAACTTGGTTACCAGCCAATAAGGAGTGATTGCCTAGGTCACAGTTAAGAATGAGTATATTTTTAAGAACACAACTTCACCCCTTTACAATATATTCAAATATGTTCTCACTGCTGGTATGAGATTAAGGCATTGCAAACTGTTTCGCAATTCTGTGTTGCACCAGGTTACAGCAAAACAAGAAATAACAATGAGGCATTGGATCGATTGCAGTGGTGGAAAACAAAATGGAAAGCCAAACAATGATGCAAGCAAGCAATGCAGGCAATGAAATTCATGCAGACACCCGCAACAGTGCAATGCCATACATACATGCAAAACCACATGACAACACAGCAGCACCTAGAGTCAACACAATGTCGTAAGAGCTTACGCAGTTCCAGCAAATATGAGTGGCGCTGTTATGATCATGTCTTGACACTGCGGCAGCATTTGAAATGTCATATAGTTTGAGAACTGGGCACAGACACCTAATTAAGCATTCTATTTATTGGGATTAATAAAGTCAGTCTAGATATCTATTATCCCCCTGAAAAATAGGATTTAATTGTCCCTACTATATAAGGGCTATTTTAAAGGTGATTAACTTCCATATTTTTGGAGGGGATAATAGCCTTCACACATTAAGGCTGTCAAGGAGCAAATACATCTATGTATATTTTTGTCTGAGAACTACTTTTTATCATAACACATCTCACTGAAGCTTAAGAGTTCGACATAAGTGAAAGTAAAAGCCAGAAAAGATAACAACTCAAAGCAACACTAGATGAGAACTGTTTAAACTCGATGGGCAAAGCGATAGCCTAGATAGACCAGGATACGCCCATAAACAGGTAGCACCATATATCTTTAAATAACCGCAGCTTGTATGCCTGACAAACACAGGTACAAGTATGACTGTTAAAAAAGTCCTAACCTCAACTGCCCTAAAAAGAGAAGCTGTACAGACTCAAGAAAGAAGAGCATCTGTCCTTTCTCTTTACCTTTAAGCGCCGTCAGCTTGCGCAGTACTCCAGAGGTAGAAAAAAAAGTTGATGAAAAGTGGCGCTGCCTCAAAACCATTGAAGACGAGTGTGGAGTTGGTCGAACAACTTTGCTGCGCAGATTCGACGGAAGCGTACTTGACTTGCAGTCGCTGTTCACGGCGAACACAGAGTCTGGAATGCTGCCCGAGCTTAGCGAGTTAGTTTTGGCCGAAGCAGGCCCCGACGTTCTTGCTGGTCGCACGGGCTCTTCTTCAACCTCAGGAATAGTTTCGGACGACTGGAGTGACTTCTGCTTGGTCAGCGAGCCGGAGGGTGGCCGACTGCCAGGGTCATCCAAGCTAAGGACACTCTCTTCAGACGACTTGAAAGAGTAATACCCCGTGTCACGGAAGCAGGAACTCTTCCCAGGGTTGCCCTCGAGATCTGTAATGTTACCCACGGATTTAGTGCCCAAGAATTTTGAGGTTGTTCGTTCTGTGTCCGGGAAGGTGGCAAGGGATAGGTTGTTCTCACTCGACGACTTTTCCTTGCTGCCAATTCTTTTGGCCAGACCATCGGCAGCTCGATTCGCATCCGAGACGTCCTCTTTGTCTTCGCTGGTTGTTGTGTCGGGTATGGAATGTTCGGATTTCGATGTTCCTCTCGATCGGAAGAGCTGCAGAGCTAGGCGAGACTCCCCGCTTGCCTTCTTGTACGGTGCAAGGCTGTCGCTGCTCCGCGTGACAACGAGCTTCCGCTGGCTGAGCCCCTTCCGTGCCTTAATGTAAAGAGACGATTCTGAACGTGACTTGTCGGCAGAGGTTCCAGTCGGAGAAACGCTGGGCTCAGGAGAGATGCCGCCGGCTTTGGGACAAACTTCCAAGACTGTTTCAACGCTCCCACAGAAGTCTAGATCCGAGCCTGTAGTTAGAGTCGACGAGCTGTCACATTTTCCGGCACCTCCGCTTGCCATACTGTACATACCAGGAAGCTCTAGCTTTTCTTCCACTGTCACTGTGCTTAACTGTGGAAGGTCACAGCTTGGCTCCAGGAACTCCAGCTTAGAGACTGCTGGATCACATGCAGGTATTAATGAGACTTCCTGTCCTGAATGCAACCGGAGGCCTGGAACTTGGAAGGGTGACAAAATGAAGTGGTCTGATGGCTCTTCTCCATCACAGCAGGAGAGCTTTGATAGAGAGATGTTGTCTGCTGGGGCAGCCCCCGACGACTCGAGCAGATTGTACAGTTCATCCATCTCGTTGGACATCTCTGATTCTGTAGCAGTGTGGTCAGAGTCATAGCTTGGAATGCTGATGCTAGTTGAGATTGTCTCTGATCCCGACTCTGATGGAGTTTTGTTCTTACCCATCTTCTTTTTCTTTTCTGAAAGGTTAGGAGAGTCCACATCTGAACACTCACTTGAGCCACCGGTAACGCCCAAAGGTTTGTTTCTTCTCTCTCGAAGTGGAGAGCCGTTACGGCTGGCATTAACAGTATGCATCAAAGCAACAATCTGGTCTTGAATGTATTCCTGAGCCTTCATATAGTCATTGTGGTTGTGGTCTGAAATAATGGGGGAAGCTTTTTTCTGGTCTAAACCAGCATGTTCATCCGAAAGCATCTTGAGTGATTGCATGAGTTGCCTACAGATGAACATGGTCTCTTCAGAGATGGTAGAATCGGTGCTGTGCCCACTTATGTTGTCTGCAAGGTGTCTCTCAGCTTCCTCATTGGAAGCTGGCTGCTTGCCAGAACCCCGAGTGACAGTTTTCTTGTGATGTCGCAGTTTGGGGGATCCTTCTTCATCAGTGGAAGAGTAAGTCCCGGACTCTAAAGTGTCACTTCCATAGTCACTGTTGTTGCTCCCAATGGTGCTGCTGCAACTGCTCTCTCCAGAGAGAGCGGCAGGAGACACCGTCTGCATCAAGCGCGTTATCTGGGACTCCAAGAGGGCCTTCCAGGGGGTGATGTTCTCGTCCATCTTCTCCGCTTCATCACTTGTTCCGGATATGTGAGCAATCACTCTGTTCACAATGTAGGCTGCTTCTTCGTCGGAATAGCCATCTGTGGAGGAAGAGCGGCTATGGATGCTCACAACGTCTTCATCTGTTGCAACACTTATTTTGCCCATCAGGAAGTTGTGGGGCTTGAACGTGGCTTCACTGTTCGAGCTATTACACATGCTTTCGATTCCTGATGTTAGCTCTCCTGCAGAATCCATTAAAGATGGCTGTCTTTCCACTTGCACGTCCCTCATGATTGGACTGATTGATGTTTCAAGGTTGTCAAGTTCAGCTAATGGCAATGAAATATTTGTACTTGAAGCCTCAAAAGGTTTCTCTTCCATGAAGTCTGAGTGATTCACTGTAGAGTCAGACTGGTCTAAAAGGCTGTCATCATCTGCTACTGAGGTGACATCAAGTCCATCAGCTTCCTTTTTCATAGTAATGTTAGTTGGTTCATTTGACTTTGTGTCAGCATTTTCTCTTTTTGTTGCATCCTCGTCCTTTTTTACAGCACCAAGGTCCACAACTTCAGTTGCTGGCACATCACCTGAGCCAACATCATTTTCTTTCTTTCTTTTGATGGTGTTGTATGAACCCTCAACTTCAAAAGCACTCCTCAAGCTGTCTTCTGTAACCTCCTCTTTCGCCTCAGACTTTTTGCCTTCATCCTCACTACTAACCCCTCCACTTTCATCCGTGTATTCGGCATCGTCCGGGTAGTGAAAGAGGCCATTCCCCAAGAGGCCAGATGTGAAATACTTCTCAAGCCTCGACGACGCCAGAACTGCTGGGTCCTCATCCATTACCTCGATGTCATCCACTCCGGATGTCTCAGATACGGAATCACTGAACTCTTCACTCGTAGCCACGGACCACCTTTTGTGGATTTCTTCCAGTGACGCATTGCCAATCGCAAAGCTAAAGTATTTTTCTAATTCTGAAGACGGGTTTTTCGTGATGGGAGTCGTCGCTCTAGAACTGCGCTCGCTCTCCTCACAACTTTCTTCGAGAATGGTGTGCAGAGAATAGGACAGCGGGTTCCCGTACTGCGCGGGATTGAGTCTGGGCATAGGCGAAATATACATCGCGTCGTCGGACGACGTCGACGCATCGCTGAACATGCCTTCTTCTTCTTCTTCCTCGTCGCAGGACGCGTCGCTCGCTTCGTTCGACCGAGGCGCCGTCTCCGAACTTGCGGGGGGTGTCGCGCTCGGAGCTGACGGAACGGCACGAATCTCCGAGTCCCGTATCGAAGGCGCATCACGGTGCACGTCAGACCCGCTGTCGTGACATTCGAACGATTCCGTGAAGTATTTCTCGAGCGTAGAAACTACGAGGCCTTCGAGATCAACGCATTTTTCTCTCATAACGGGGGTATCCAGCACCGAGTCCAACACAGAGTCCGTAACGGCGGCCGAGACGACTGCGTCCACGACGACGCTCACGGAGTCGTTCGACTTCGAACCGCCGGGCGCAAACTCACCGACCGTCGACTCGGAAGCGCTGTCCGCCGTAGTAGCGGGAGCACAAGTTGCCTGGGTCGCATCCTCTGCGTCGAGATCGACGCCCGCTTCGCAATCCGAAACACAAACCGCGGCCACCTGTTGGTGCACAACACACTCGCGCGCAGCTGCTGGCTCGGGGTCCGTCGCTGCGTCCGCGTCGACGGCGATGTCCACCGCAGCTGTGGCGACTCCTTCCGTTCCAGCGGCGGCCGAACTCATCTGCGGGTTGGCGGCAGCGGGGGCGCCGCTCTCTTCAAGCTGTCCCACTTCCCGCACACCTTGCCCGGTGTCCCGAAGAGCGTCGGCCATGTTGGCAATGGCCGTCTCAGGTGCATTGTCCGCCGCCGGCTGCTGTTCCTCGGAGGCGCGTTGGCGGGGGGCCTCCTCTCGCGGGCAGCCATCCGCGGACGGGCCGGCCGCAATCGGTTCGGGTCCCCGGGCCAACGTCAAAGGGACGCGGTCGACCATGATCGCATCGTCCCGAGCGAGCGAGTCTCTCGGCCGTCCCGCGATGGCGTCGTCGTCGGCGCCGCTGCCCTCTCCCGCTTCCGGCGCCGCTGAGTCAACGACAGGTGGAGCAGCGGCCAAGCCAGCAGCGGGGCAAACTTCTTGGCCCGGTTCTCCTACGCCGGCCGTCCCGCCGCCGCGTACGGCGTGCAGATTAGCCGGTAGAGACTCGTCCCGACGATTGTCCGGCACCCGCTGCTCTGCCAGAATAGCAACGACGGCCGAGAAACAGGTTGGGTCTTGGTCGTCGTCGTCACTGGGCGTCCCTTCTGGGCCGACGCGTCCTCCCATTCTGCCGGCGGCGCCCCTTTCGCCGAGCCCTTTCTCGCCTCTCGCCTCCTCGGGCGACCTTTGCTCGGGGTCGACCACCTGCGGTCCCGCGCCGACGCCTTGCCGCTCCTCCGCCGCACAACAGGGCGCCCCACCGCCGGCAACGTACGAGTCAGAACCTCCGTCCGACGAGCAGGACAGCGCCCAATCGTCCTCGTCGGACGCGAACTCCCAGTCAGACGTATCCTCGACGTACACGGAGCCCTCCGGCCCCAGCGCGAGTCTGGACCGTAGCAGGAGCCATACGCGAGACGCTTCGGCTTCGGAGTCTTCCTCCGACGAGTCCGAACTGATGAACACCAGCTTGTAGTCGTCCGGGGAACGGTCCTTGAGCTTCACCTCGCAGTCAGAGTCCTCGAACTGCCAGAGCCGGCTGTCGTAGCTGTTCTGGCTGGCGGGTCGAGACGGCAGCTCGGAGTCCGAGTTCTTGAGCAAGTCTCGGATGCGGAAGGACCTCCGTCGCAGCTGGTCCAGGCGCCGGGCCAGCGGCGAGCACGGTGGACTCGGAGCGTTAGTGGGAACGGAAAGAGGTTCGCCGGTTAGCGTCGCGTGGTTAGGGTCGCCGTGCGCGTCGCGAGAAAAGAGAAAGTCGTCAAAGACAAGCGGAGGGGGCAGGATGGGGAATGGGGGACTGTCGTCGGGGTCAGTGGGGGTGCAAGGGAGGGACTCGCAGGCTGCTCGGTCCATGACGTCGCCATCTGGACAAAGAGGGGGTTCACCCGTTAGGAATGCTCGTTCGTCATTGATTCCGAGGAAGCGCGCTCGCGAAAGCGTGGGCATCTCGAGAACGCTTGCCAAGAACCAGTACGCGTTTGAAAAACGTCCGCGATGAAGTCAGTGAGTGGAGCTCGTGGGCGATTCTATCACCAGGTAGCAAGCACTACCGCGTTTATTAAAGTGGTATAACCAATAAAAGTAGCACGGAGTCACGGACACCTCGGGTCTTTATCTGAACCGTTGCGATTTTGCATTACTCCGGTCCGGTGGACGTTTCTGAAACGTCGAGCTCGGTAATATATTTTAACGTGGCCCTGAGAAATAGTGGAATCATAATCAGAATAACACTTGGTCGGTATTGTGAGGTCGCTTTTTGTTATATACAGGGTGTTTCACGAAAGGTGGACAAATTCGACATTGCAAAAACTACGCGTCAAAAAAAAAAAAAAAAAAAAAAAAAAAAAGGTTTGTGTCGTTCTGGTCCCGGGCCAAGAGCCTAATTTAAGAAAATTATTGAAGTCCGGGATAATTATATTGAGAATTATTCTTGCGTAATTAATTTTTTTTAATATTGCAGGGGTGGAACTCATGAAATGTACTTGGGAGCAGCCACGGGAGCAGCTGAAACAGCTGTTTTGGAGCAGGTTGGGAGCAGCTGAAACTACATTCTGGAGCAGGCTGGGAGCAGTATTCATTGCACTTCAGCTTGTGTCTTAGACAAGCACGGGAGCAATTTCAATTGTGCTTAGCAGCACAGATAAACAGGAGTGGTTAGGGACCTAGGCAGATGGGATAACAGTGTAACAGATGCGAAAACTTGGATCTAAGTGAGCCTTGATATTTTCTGAGTGGCTTTCAGCTGCTTAAAATGCAAACCAGCACTGCTTATCGCACAGCCCACACGTGCTCGACAGAGTGATTATATGTGCGAACCACGTGACGCGTGTAAGCAACATACGTGCAGTTGCGCGGAGGAACATGGCAACAAATTTCTAGTTTCTCATTATGTGCAACTCAATATCGCAACAAAATTGGAGTTTATCTTATTGTGCAACTCAATATCGAAGCAGCAGACTATGATTAACGGGGTCATCCTATTCGAAGCGGTAAGCAGGAGAAAGGTTAATTAGGAAGGTTAAGACACCGAGCAGATATACCGCTTGCGTGAGGGCTGCTGGCCGGCAAGGTTTCGGATCGGACCGCGTCTCAGTTGTATCAAATCACGATTTATGTTGCGGGATTGCGGCTCCAACCTCTAACGATGAAGCGCTAAAAGGAATCTTTTGCTCATTTGTTTTCAACTCACTGCCATCCAGATTCCGGGCCACAGAGCCTTAGATCTGATGCTTAACGACTCGACCTCACCTCGGCCGACTTGCTTAACCGCTGATGGTTGAAGAATAACAATGCACTGGCAGGTGGTGTAGCGCTTGGAATACGACCCCAGAGTTTCTTTTCGCACACTTCCGACTCAGGATACACAGAAAGAATAAAGAGAATAAAGGATTGCAAGGCTGACCAAGCTAAACGCGATCATTGTGGCCAATTGAGTCGATAGAAACCGAAACCAAGACCAAATACAATTTTTTTTTTGGCGCACGTTTTGCGATTTGGTGCGTAATGGCGCGAGGAATTGGCTGTGGCGCAGTTTCCGAAACATGGCGCAGGATGGCGCAGACAAATGCGTCTGGCGCAAAATGGCGCAAATGGCGCAGCCGTTCCACCCCTGTATTGTGTTTAAGGGCGTGGCTTCAATTAGAAAATTGCTCAGCATCATCGAAAAACACTAAATCAACAAATTGCAGAATGATAGAAGGCACCCGCAGCATTTTACGGCTTTCTGAAAAACCGCACAAATTCGGCGGGTTTTAAAGTTTCGGTTTGCAATCTGAGCGCATCTCGGCCACGACGGCACCGCGCCCCGTGGAGAAATAGTGCAACCAGCCTCTGCTGCGTTGCGCGAGGACAGCGCAGCAGTGGTAGCAGTGGTTAGCTGCTCACAGCAGAAACTGTTGAGGTTAGCAGAGGCGCAGCAGAAGTCCTGCTTCCTGGTGGACGCGCCTACACCGTGGTCGCGCCGCAACCACTAGGAAGCAGGACCGCGGACGCATAGATGCGCTCTGATAAGAAACCGAAATCTAGAAACGTGACCAAATGGAGAGTTTCTACAGAACGCCGTAAAATGCTATCCCGGCGTTATAGCCTTATAAAAATAGTTGATTTAGTGGTTTTCGATGATGCTCAGCAAGTTTCTAATTGGAACTATATGTCTCCTTGCATTAATTAGAAAGTTCATTAACAAATTTTACTTAATTAGCCGACTAATAGTTGCAACTATCTCCCTATACTATGTCCTCCTGACCGTATAACTCACCTGCACAAGCCGCATAAGTATAGCTTTCACGGCTTTTTTTAAACAAATCTGAAAGGATAAGTAAAAACACCCTGTATAAACAAAAAGAAAAAGAAAAAATTTTAGCATTGCAAGTTGGCATTACAATTAGTAACCCCGGGGAAAGTTTAAATTTCTGTCACAAACGACGCCAACTTAAATCACACGTTTATCGAACCGGAGACGACGGCCGACAAAGGGTACAAGAAACAAACACGCACGTCTCAACCACGCTCAGGCAACTTTAAGCCTGTGTGTGATATGCAATCCTCCAGAAGACTGCGTGCAACGTGAAATTCCGCAGTAAGCAGTAATTTATCTATACAACACTTTCGCGTCATACGTGGACGCTTTACAGGAAATGCTCTTATTTAACACTCAACATTGTTGTAGTTGGTGCTTTTCTTCTTTAGTGCCATTCTTTTACATGTACTTTGGCCCCTATGTCTTTTGGGTGTAAAAGGATGCTCCGTCAACAACGCCCTAACAGTGCTGCTGGAACACCGTTGGGTGTTAACCCTGAGACAAACTGAAAAACACTCTTGGTGTCGAAAACACGTGTTTTTCAGTGCCGCCAGAGGACAGAAGAAATCTCCATAATCGCAAAAAGATCAATAAGAGGACAAGGTGCTGCTAATCTAAACAAGCGACTTTCCTAAATGCGCATCAAGAGCGCGACCAGAAAACAAGGGAAGAGTTTGGCTGCTGGAAGCTGACAACAGCGTTATCGGAGTATCGGTGCGCACGACCTCCCCTCGATGAAGCGGTTTGTTCCAATAGCGGCAGATAAGGCCTCACGGCAGTTTGTCAATTTGTAGCACGAGACCGCCGCGGTGCCCCTAAAGATAAAATCGCGCGTACGCACAAATTGCTACAGCCCAATTCCGCGCTACGTCGATCACAACAGCATAGATGGTGAGTCAGAGCCGGTGGCCCGCAACAGGCAATCCGCAATATTCGTCAAGGGCGAGTACACTTCGGAGAATTGCAGCTCGGCAATAGCCGTTTGTTCCGTCGAGGTATACAGTAAAAAAAGTCAATTTGGCGCTTTTTAACAGACTTCGTCCACGTGTGAGAGAAAGTAGTGGCCGTGGACTCGTTGTCGATGCAATCAGCCTAATTCAATCAGGTTGTTATTGTCGGGGGTGAGATTGAGAATATAAACTATAATCAGTGGCAGGTTTAGTGCGAACTTTTTGCCCTTGATAGCACCTCGTCGCACGCGCAGTCAGAGCCCAACTGAAAGCCATAGAAGGCAGTGTGCCATAGCCGCGAATAGCCACGAACTTATACTTTATTTTACTATATAAGAATCGCAACCAACTTAGCTATACTTTATTTTATTATAAGTGTCGCCACCAACTTAGCTATATTTTGTTTGGTAAGTACAGTGAACTCCGTAGAATGTATGAAACCGAGAGAGTATGACTTTTACGATATTTTTTTTTTGTTTAAATGTGTGCGCCCTAAACATTTATGATCACAATGATTTTTTTTTTTTTTGGTGAGTGTGTTGTTGCAATGTATTGTTAAGATTACTTTTGTTCACGCCTTTTTTTGTTTTTGTTTTCCTCTTCTGTGAATGCTTTAGCACGATGCTGCATAGTTGCCAATATTAAGGGTCTGTGGACCCGTCAAGCTGCAATGCTCTAGCTTTTTTCCCCAGCTCCTTCATCTTCTTTGTACAAGGTGAAAATAAACTGATTTGATTTGATATACTTTATTTTACTACAAGTCAAAGCGCAGCCGACGCTAAGAGCCAATGGGGTCAATCAAGCAACGTTAAAAGCGCAACGTCGCTATAGACATTTTCCACAGGAGCGCCGCCATCTTGAATTGTCGTCACTTCCAGTATGGGCGACGACAAAATAGTAAAACGTTTCAACCTGTTATTAGTAAAAAAATAGAGGGGAGCCAAAACCAGAATGTGTGGCGGTTAGGCTTATATCCTAAATGTCTTCTATTGGCGTGGTGACGGCAAAGTAATGTTTTCGCCCATACTGGAAGTGACGACAATTCAAGATGGCGGCGCCCTTGTGGAAAAGGTCTATACATCTCTCGTCTTTCCCTAAAACTGTTAATGCACCGTCCCCATCGAGCGCAGTGCACGTGTCGTTATCTTCCGCAGTACGCCTCCGTTTGCGTCGTATGTCTTCTATACCTTTGACTGCGCTCTGACTTGGAGATGAAACAGACACGTAGCCAGGATTTTGTTTCGGGGGGGGGGGGGGGGGGGGTCCGCCCATGACAAAATGCTGCATGAGGGGGAGGGGGGAGAGGAGGGTCCCAGCAAAATCGAAGATTTCGGGGGGGGGGGGGGGGGGGCGGGCCCCATGGGCCACCCCCCTGGCTACGTGCCTGCCATGAAAGATACATGTAATAACTGAACTTTTGGCAGTTACATTTCCTCGGGTCAGGAACAGAGAGAAAAAAAAAAAGTTTTCACCTGTCCTAATTAAATTGTTAAAACCTAGAAAATAAAATGGTCTAAACAACCAGTATCAAACACTTAGGCCGGATCAAACAGTTCGTCAAAAAATTGCAGCCGCCTCAGAGAATCCGCAGGAAAGTGCCTGCCTACAGTTTGGT